TTAGGACTGAACCAAGAAAATGTCCTTCTACGTGAATGGGCTTGTTAAAATCCGATAGCCTGAGAGCTTGCCTTCTGCCGACTCCCAGGCGGATGTATGAGGCGTTCCTTTGCTAGGACACAAAGCTGTGTTATTGGCAACAGTGATACCTGGACCTGACCTTCAGAAAAAGGTTAAAAACAGTGTCCTGGCAAAGCCTGTCTTCATCTGCATATGTATGTGTGTGTGCGTGTCCCACGTGCCCTATGTGTGTGCTCTCGCCTTGTGCTTCGTGGAGGCTGTAGGGGCTGAACGCAAGGGGACAGGGCAACGTTAGCAGACTTAGTTCAAGTGGCTAGCCTCGCCTTAGAGAGCTTCCAGACTAACCTGACTTTCCCTTTATTTGCAGAACATCAGTTGAGGAGTTTGTGAACTTTAATCTCCAAATTTTGTAGTGGATTTGGGATGGGCTGTTGGGATTGTTTTGGCTCTGTGAAACCTCATGACCAGAGTTCTGGGAACACTCTTCCTTCATCTTCTGTTCTTTGGTTCCAGCTGCATGATGTATGTGGAGAAGGCTCCTGATCTATGGCTAGCCTTCTAGCATGAAGCCCACACTTGCCAATTAGTGGTCACCTCTCCCTAAATAATTAATACAAGCACAGCATTTAGCTTTAGAATCTGTATAGCACGTTTTGTTTACCCCTTCAGTCATGTGCGAAGCCTGTCATCCCAATTCATGGATAAGGAAAGTGAGACTCAAAGAGGGTGTGTGACTAGTTCCTCTTAGTTAATAACCCAGCCCCAGTGACCCTCAAGGTGGAGGGATAGCTCCCTTTCCCCCCCTCTCTTCACATGCTGCCTCTGAAGGAAGTAATGAGCTAGAGGGGTGGTGGGCTGGCCTCCCTGCCCTCCTCGGTGGCCCATTCCATTGGTCCGTTCTGGTTCTCTCCAACATCCAGCCCCCAACCAGATGTTTGGAGCAGAGAAAGCAGATGCACATCAGCAGCTGGGCAGGAAAAGAGGGCTGGTGTCACAAGGGGATGTCAGGTCCTGAAGGGGGAGAACAGCTGGTCATGAGGCTTTATGGCACCTCCTTGAATTTGTCCCCCTCATTGGGGAAATTGTGTGCCATGAGATCCCTGTGGATCTGTGATCATCTTGTGCCTGGTGTCCCTCTTCCCTCCCCATCATCCATGGAGGAGTGGGGGTGGCCCGCACCTGCCTGTCAGTGACACAGTGCTGAGTGCTGGCTGAAAGGAACCATTTGAAAGGCTCTTTGACATAAGTTTCAGATCCCCCTTTGGCGTGTGGTTCCCCTTTACCCTTAAATCTCCAGAACAAAGCAGGTCTTGGACCAAAGCTTCTGGTTCTAGCCCCCCTCACCCCCACCCTTTATTGTCCTCTTGTTCTCCCAGAGGTATGTGCTGCTTGGAGGGGCCTGGAGGGCTGGAGCAGTATCCTCATACTATGCTTTATGCCTTTTACATTTAATGCCCTGCTTATGAGAACAACAAAATGGGAGGCTGGACCCCAAACCATTCCTTTACCAGCCCATCTTAGAGAGTAAGAGAGCAAAAGAGAAGAGACCCCAAAAAGAGAGCTTGAGAATGCCAGACCCAGCTATTGAGCTAGTGTACACCCATGATGCCCCTGAGCCGAGGAGGCCTTATGCAGTAGTGGTTGAAAGCCTTGGCTCTGGCTTCAGGCAGACCTGGGTTCAAATCCTGACTCTACTGTCATACTAGCTGTGTGGCCTTGAGCACATTGCTTAACCTCTCTGTGCTTCAATATTCCTTCTGAAAGTAGAGTGAAGATGAAGTGAGGTGATGATGTGAAGTGTCTGGCACAGGGGCTGGCACACATCAGTGTTCAGCAAACATAATTGAGGCCCAGAAAGACGTAAGTGACTGGCCTCAGGTGCTCAGCTCCTTCAGGGCCCAACTCATGTAAAGTAAGCATTTCTGTTTACTACTCTTCAGGGCTGCTGCAAACCAGTGGCAGCTTCTTCAGGCCCAGCTTTGTAGAGCTGACAGGCCCTGGAGACCCCCCTGAATCACTCAGCTAGTCAGTTATTGAGCACCTGCCACACAGGACTGGAGGCTGATGAATAAACCAGGCTGAGGCCATTGCAGGCCGTGTCAGTAGGCAGCCGTGTTGAGGGGAGGCTGAACCAAGCCCTGATGTATGCACAGCAGCAGTGTTTACAGAGGCAAGGAGGACAGGCAGCCTGGAGGATTGCAGAAAGTGGGGCCCCAGTGGGGAAGGGGGCAGTGAGGGAAATCTAGGGTATTGACCTTGCTGTTGTGGGTCTGGGGTACCCTTCCCAGGCATACAGCAGTTCTGCACTCTGCTCCAAAGACCAACCCCCTTTGTGCCCCTGAGGTCAAGGTATTTGTGATCTAGGAGGCTCAGAGGCTGCTTGGTCACATTGTGTTTTTCAGAAGACCCTCATTCCCCACAGAGTACAAACCAAGCAGAGGAATACCCCCCACCCCCCGGGCTCCCTGTCTAGGGCTGAGGCATTTCTGCCCTCAGGCCTCCTGTGGTGGCAGCAAGCGAGGCCTGGAGGCCTCAGCATGGCCCCAGCCAGCTGCCCCTGTCACCCCCTGCCTCTCAGGATTACTCAGCCTTCACAGCATCTGTCACGAAGATGCTAAGTGCGTTCTTGATGGCCTCTCTTCAGGAAAGACCTGAGCTGTGTGGCCTTTTAAGAAAGGCCCGGTGGTACTCCGTTAAGCCTCTGATTGTGGTTCTGTGTGAAGAAACCATAAACCAAAGGAAAAGCTATGGTTCAGCTTTGGTCTCAGAGCTTTTTGTCAGCGTCTGCCCTGAGTCCTTGGGCTTGGAATTTAATGCGGGCTTGCGGACAGATGGGGAAGCTGGCCTTTCCCTCCAATTTTGTATGGATTGATACTGAGTAAAGTGGAAGATCCAAGGAGCCTCTCATCCTGCTATCTTTAAGTGCTGGGTTCTGTTCTGAACTTTGTCCTTAACACAGGGGCCTTGGGGATGTGCCCAGTGCAAATTATTCCTTCGTGACAAAATCCCTGGTCCCTGGAAATCATGATTCTTCCACCCAGACCTCGAGCTTAAGAGTGAACATCCAGGTTTTTGGAAGCCCAATCATTTTCTAAAATGTTTCCGATGGTCATACCCATATCAGGGCATCTGTCCCTAACACAGGAAGGGGGGAGAGCGCTCTCTGGACTGACCAATCCAGAAAGCAACTGTGGTGTAGAAGGCCTCTGTCTGCACCTGCAGGAACTTGTTGCCTTTCTGTTGAGTCAGAGCTGAGTCGCAGTAGGGCACATATCTGACTGCCACTTGACAGGAGCCCTTTCCTCACCCCTGGTCCTAGGGAATAGAATCTGGTATTTTTAAACTTTGTTAAAATTTTAATGATGGAAATAAAGATACAGACTGAATAAAACGTTGAAACATTGGAATGAAATAGTACGCCAAAGCACGGCTTTGTTTAGAAACCATTTCCTCACCTCTGGTCCTAGGGAAAAAAGAAACTGTTTTTTTCTCCTCCTCTCCAAGGGCACAGGCAGCCCAGGAACTAGGCGTTGAGTGACTCTCTCATCTCTGCAAGGGGCCCCCTTTGTTTCTCCTCTAAAGACTGAACCAGAAGCTCCATGTCACTCCTGGGGGGCCCCCACCACAATGCCTTCCCTTTCCCTTCAACCTCATCCCAAGGAACAACACAGAGGAAGTTGTCATAAATGGCACGTTCTGGGTTTTTTGTTGTTGTTGTTAATTTCCCTACAAAAAAGCAGCAGTTTATTTTCCTGGAGAGTAATTCCCCAAGCTTTAAAATGGAATGGCCTAGTTTGATTCTTAGACCAGTGTTCAGCTCAGGTCTGGGACACTCAGACCCTCAGGGGAGAAGAGACTTGTGGTTGAGGACCATTTTGTGTGTGGTTTTGCAGCGCCACCTGCTGGCCATGACATGTCACCTCTTCCTACTCTTGCTGACAGTTGTCAGAACAGTTCATCTGAAGCAAAAGGAACTTAATAAAGATACTCAGAAATCCATTTCTGGTTGGCCCTTTCATGCCTGTAACTTTCTGTATCTGCTTGGCCTTTTCTGAGACTGCCTTGTATTAAAATGACTTCATATCTCCAAACCCCAATTGTCAAAGTAGGACTGAACAACTGAATTCTAAAAGCAGATACATCAACCAGGAATCAGAGGGTAGATGTGTGTATCCAAAGCGGATAATCTGCCTATAGTTTACCAGTAAGACCATGTGTCTTTGAGGGGAGGAAGTATTAGAGAAAGTGGCTTGGAATATGGGAAGGAAATGAGTGTGGACAAAGAACTCTTCCTTGGGTCTGTGGCTGGTCTGGAGTTTCTAGGCAAATTGGCTCTAGTTCTGCAGCCACTGAGCCAGCATTTATGGAAGCTGACATTAAACAGAAATGTAACTCCCACTTACTTGAAAGGGATAAGGTTACTCCCTTGTATGGAATGGGTGGTCTCCTGGAAACTGATGTTTGGGAGTTTTTGTGAATTAATTTTGAGGGCACTATCAGTGGGTTGTTACCAGAGCAGCAGAACACCTGGATTCTGCATCTCACTTCATCTTTGAGACCTCTCCCAAGGGAATAAAGCAAATACTGTGTGTGTAGCTCAGGTCCCCTGTTTCCCAAACCAGAGAGTGGATGATTGCTTCAGTTTTTGCTTTAAAGAAAAGATGAGGGAATAAAGAATGTGTATGTTTCTATGGAAGCAGATTGCCAGGTCTTTCAAGACAGATTAATTTGGCAATTTCTTTTCTTTTTCAGAAACCCTTGCTGTGGTGTACTATTTCATTCTAGTGTTTCAACATTTTATTTAGATATTTATCTGTGTCTTTATTTCTATCATTAAAATTTTAACAAAGTTAAAAAAGTGTGCTTCACCATTAAGTGTATTTGATCACTCACCGCACATAGTGTGCATTAGAGACTAGAGGGGATGCAGGCGCATGGATAGACCTGTAGCTAATGCCTGTGAATTCCCTCTGCTCTAGGCCTGGTCTCAAAGTCCTCTCCCAAGAAGCCTCGTGGGCGTAACATCTTCAAGGCCCTTTTCTGCTGTTTTCGTGCCCAGCATGTTGGCCAGTCAAGCTCCTCTACTGAGCTCACCGCATACAAGGAGGAAACCAACACCATCGCTAAGGTACCTATATCAGGGTGGTCAGGATGCAGGCGACAAGGGATTGGTGGTGGTACAGATTAAAAGGGGGCAAGGTGGCTTTGTTGAGGTTGCAAGGCTCTCAGGCTCAGAGGAGGTCCCACTACTGTCCCTTGAGTAGTGGCCCATATCATTTCTGTTGCTTCCCATTTAGGGTGTAGGCCTCCACATCCAGATATCCCTGTGATTTATGAGGGCTTCTGTTGTCCACATCCTGCCAGTTTCCAGGCATTGTGCAGGGTGTTTTGCATATGTTGTTTTGTATGATCCACTCAGCAGTCCTGCAAGGAGATTCACCAGATTTCCACTTGACAGACGTGGAGACTGAGATCCAAAGGGATGAATCATATAGTAGTGGCAGAATTCAACCTCAGATCTATCTTGGTTGTAAAGCCTTTGCTTGTTGTTTTCTACTACATAAAGCTACCTTTTCAGTTACCCAACTTGGAGGGAACTAGGGAATTGAAACTCTACCACTATTCTACCACATTCTTGATAACCCCTTCCAGTAGTGCCACCTGTGACTGAAAGAGAGGTATTTGTAAATGTGTGGGCATTTTTTATACATTCCTATGACCAGAAGGTATTTCTGACATTTTAAGGGTAGGGCCAACCCTGTCTAAAAATAATTCTGCCCCCAGGACCAGTGATGTCCCTTTCCAAAACACCAAGGCCTGGCCCATCCTTCTTCTCTCTCAAAACCAGGCTAAAGACATGCACACCAATGAAAAATCACTTCATTATCCAATAATGAGGAAAGGGTAAAATGAGGTGCATGTAACAATGTTACTAGACAATCAGTTCTTAAGAGTTTGCAACATCCTGGAAAAGTATGGGGTTGTAACACTGTTGGAAGGTTATTGGGTGGAGCAAATGGCTAAGCGCACCACTACCAGCCCAAGAAGTTAGTGGTTTGAATCTACCCAGAGGCACCTCTGAAGGCAGGCCTGGGATCAACTCCTAAAGGTCACAGCCCTGAAACCTTTGTGAAGCAGTTCTGCTGTGACATGCATGGGTCACCATGAGCCAGAAATCAACTCAACAGCAATTGACAACATACATATATTGTTAAATTATATGGAAAAAGGCTGCTAAAAACAAGCTTGAAGGAAACAGTAAAAGCCAAAATTAAGTTCTTTTAAGTGCTACAATTTTTTCTTCTTCAAGATTTTCATCAAGAGCACTTAATACTTTTTATAATCGCAACATTTTTATTATTAGCAAAAAGGGAAGAAGGCTTTCAGAGCTCTGCACTCTGCCTCCTCTCATGCTTCAGGTATCCATAATGTTGGTTTATTTGATGTTCTGTGGGGCTCAGTGCTCCCTGCATTTTCCCTCAGAAGGCATAGAAAACATCTTCTCAAAGAGAAGCCTGGATTCAAGGACTGAGCCAAGAGATTAACCCACCCGAGTGAGTAGCGGAGATCTTGGTTTTGGTGTATATCATTCAGGCTTCTGACGCCCTATCCTGAATCAGCTGCTTGAGTTCCTGTTTATCAGTTTGTCCAGCTGAGAATAAGAAAACCATCTTCTCCATCCCCCTCAGGCCTAGTGTAGAAAGGAAAGTGGCCTTTCCCCCTTCCTGCCCAGCTCTTGAGAAAAGCTGCTTTGTCATAGGAGCTTATGGGTTGCTGGGGTCTTGGGGTAAAGGTTCCCCTTGATGCTTGAGGCAGAAACAGTAGTTTGGGACAGGGCAGGGGAAGCACTGGCAGGTTGGCACTGACTGCCTCCTTCTTTCCTTCAGTCCGATCTGCTCCAGTGTCTCCAGTACCAGTTTTATCAGGTGTGTGAATCTGGCAGGGTAAGTACTCAGAAGCCCAGGACCTGGGGATCCCCAGTTCACTCCACAGGGTGATCCCCTCACTCCTTAGTAGCTGTCTGGTCACCTCCCCACCCAGGGAGGCCATTTGTTCTGGATATTTGCTGAGGGTCCACTGTTTGCAAAGCATGTTCTAAGGAACTGCTGGAGCTCCATGCCCTCTTCGTACAGTTCATGTGCATCCCACCCTACCCCTGACCTCCACTCCAATGTCCAGATCTTTTAGTTGTTCCAGTGGGAGGTCAGAAACCAAGCAGCCAACTCTATCTTTTCTTTCTTCGCCTCTTTCTTCACCTCCTAACCATCAAGTGGTGCCATTCCTGGGATAGTAAAATTGAAGGTCTTCCATCTCCGTGATCAGCCCAGCTCTTCCCAGAGCTCTGCTGTGAAAGGAACAATTGGGCTTTCTTGATAGGCAGAGCTTAGCATCCTGGCCCCTCTTTCAGATCCCAGGGACCTGCCTGCTCCCAGAGGTGACAGAAGAAGATCAAGGAAGGATATGTGTGGTCATTGACCTGGATGAAACCCTTGTACATAGCTCTTTTAAGGTAACTCGACATTAGGAGCCCATCTTACCCCTGTCTGTGTGACCCCAGCTGTTGGTGCTGTGAGGTGACCTGAAATTGAGGATAGAGGCTGGCCAGAAAGGGGGTGTGGGGGTGGCAGGCTTTGGTATTTTGGCCACCTTGGCATCACAGATATCAGGAGTCAGTACCCAAGAAAGCCATGTGGGAACCTCCTCCTCCCCCTAACAAGTGCCAATCCCAGTGGCCACACAGTACAGAAAACTCCAGGGCTCCATACAGAGCAGGCCTAAAAGAGGACTTGAATCAACATTGGACTTTGCCCCTCTCTGGTTTTAAAAAGCGGGTATTTGTTAGCTCAAGAAGGCCCCAAATCTCTTGCAGCTCAGGTAGAATTGGGAGGTGGAGGAGGGAAAACCATCACAAGGGGATCATACCCTGTAGCGGTGTGGTGGGAGGAGCTTCCCGGAATCTTAAGATGTGTTCATCCCTGCCCCACTCGGGATGGGGCAGTTGCTGTGCAGGGCACTAACTGGGCTGTGGTAAGGCCTTCATGTCAGCTCTATATCATGCTCACCTCACTCACTTTTCTGCCTTCCAGCCAATCAACAATGCTGACTTCATAGTGCCTGTAGAGATTGAGGGGACCACTCACCAGGTGAGCTACTTGCCAGGCCACCCCTAACCCAGAGGGTGGGCAGCCTGCCTTCTGCCATCCACCTGGGCTCAGGACCCTCCACCCCCCTACATCTTATGTAATTTCAATCTCTCCCTTTTTACTGGTAATTTCACTTCCAAGGCTTCCTCATCTTAAAAAATACGTATTTCCAGCCTCATGTCTCCCTCTAATTGCCATCCTTCTATCCTCTTTGTAACCAAGCTATCTGAAAGAACAATTTGCATTATTTAACAGTAATAATAGCTATCATTTATTGGCCACCCCCCATGTGGCCATACTATTACATGATTTATTATATCTTCTCTAATCCTGAATAGTTGATGTCTCTCCCTGTCACAGGCAAGGAAACAAGTGTAGGCTCTTTTCTCTGCTGGAATGCCCTCTTCCCCATGTCCTCCCATACCCCCACCCCTACCCCACCCCCACCCCTGATGTGCCATCTAGCTAGTCAGTTCCTTCCTTCCCAGCCCAGGCCTCTACTACTATGAAGCCTTCTCCAGGCCTCCTCCCTTTGGGTCTTTACACTGGATTCTGCCTGAATACATGCTTAGTACATACCTGTCAAAGAATGTTAAAGTAAACAGAGTAAGAGTCTAAATAAGACCAGACTTCAGTTATGCACATAGCCTGCTCAGTCTGGGGTTAAGAGTCATGTGGCATTGATAATGAACAAACATTTACTCAAAACATTTGCCCAGAAGGGACCAGCAGAAACAGATGTCCTGGTAGTTCTGGTATTTGTTTGCATGGCCCAGTAAAATAGTAGAATTACTTGTAGAAAAATGCGGTTTAAACTTCCATGAGTTGTCATTCCTATCCTGTGTCCATTAGAAGCTTTCTTTTCTCCCAATGAGGTGCTCTGCTAAGCACAGCTACAGCCTCCACCTAAAACCAGGCTTGTCCCTTGGACTGCCTAGACCCTGTCCACCAGCCCTTTATAGTCTAGTTTGAGAGTATGTTGTTGTTAGGTGCTGTCTAGTTGGTTCTGACTTATAGCAACTCTTTGTACAAGAGAACAAAACACTGCCTAGTCCTGCATCATCTTCACAATTGTTGCTACATTTGAGCCATCATGGCAGCCACTGTGTCAATCCATCTCATTGAGGGTCTTCCTCTTTTTCACTGACCCTCTGCTTTGCCAAGCATGATGTCCTTCTCCAGGGACTGGTCCCTCCTGCTAATATTGGTCCAAAGTATCTGAGACGGAGGTTCATCATCTTCCCTTCTAAGGAGCATGCTGGCTATACTTCTCCCAAGACAGATTTGTTTGTTGAGAGTATGGAGATACACAAAACCTGTGGGAAAACAACTGGCAGATACTGTGAACTCTGGTTAATGAGGAAGGGCGTAAATAATTTTAAAAAGTGGGGGCATGAAATTAAAATGAGGGTGGCTACCTGCAGAAGGCAAATTTTCAGCAAAGAGTTGGGGTGAGGGGGTGTCGAGCATGGTGAATAGATAGGAAGGAGGGAAGGACATGTTTAAGGTAGAAGAAATGGCAGGCTGAAGGGAACAAAGATGTCACTGCCAAGAATAGAGGGTTCCTGCTGTGGAGCTGAGGGGGGCTGGTGAATTGGTGGTGATTTGGCCCAGTCCAGGAGGGACGCAGGTCCGGGCTCTGAGCTGGGCAGTGAGTGGATAAAGAGTGCTTTGAAGGAAGTGGCTCTGGTAGCAGCTGTGTAGGCTGGAGGAGCAGGAGAGAGACCAGAGGAGGGAAGCAGTACATTGCAGAGGGATGAGGAACAATTAGCCAAAGAACCCTTTAGGCCAACATGTGCCCGAGATCATGGTGGATAGCACAGAGCATTTGGGGTGGATGGCAAGAGCAGGCATGACACAGGATACAAGGGTGAGAAGCTGCATGTGTCTGGTTTGAGGCCGTTGCAGGGAAAAAGTCACTTCTCCCTGGTACAGTTTGGAGAAGCTCTATGAGGGCACTGGGTTTCAGGAAATGTTTGTGTTGTACCAATGGTGACCTGGACGGACTGTCCTGCCAGAGCCAAGGACAGGAAGTTCCCACAGAGGCTGTGGCTGGATTCAAGTAATCCAGGATAGGCTGTTTCCATCTGTGAGGCCTATTCTTGATTACTTGTTTCTGGAGGCAGCTGATGGTCCGCCGCTGAAAACAGATGGCTCCTGAGACATGGGCATATGTGTTTCTTCCTGAGCTGGGCAAGGTTAGGCTCACAAGCTAGCAGAAGCCTGGGGAGGGGGTGATGCCAGTTCCCTGGTCTGTGGGGCAGGAGGCTTCTGGCCAGGTGGTGTGGGTGGCTGGGGTATGGGAGTCTGGGCAGAGGAAGGTCTGAACCTACTTGCTATTGTTCTTTGTGCAAGTGGTAAAGGGGACTGATGCTCCAGCCACACAGGGATGTCTCTAACAAGCCATTCTGCTTTTCCTCAGGTATATGTGCTCAAGAGGCCTTATGTGGACGAGTTCTTGAGACGAATGGGGGAACTCTTCGAATGTGTCCTCTTCACTGCCAGCCTGGCCAAGGTACCTGGGGGCAGAAGGGGAGAGGAACCAGGAACAGACATGGCTGCACAGGGGTGGTACTGCAGCTCCTTGCTGGTCCATAGGATGCAGCAAGGGGACCCGCATCCAAACAAAGGTATCTTCTCTCCTCCCAGTATGCTGACCCAGTGACAGATCTGTTGGACCGGTGTGGGGTGTTCCGGGCCCGCCTGTTCCGTGAGTCCTGTGTATTCCACCAGGGCTGCTATGTCAAGGACCTCAGCCGTCTGGGAAGAGACCTGAGGAAAACCCTCATCCTGGACAACTCACCTGCTTCTTATATCTTCCACCCGGAGAATGCAGTGAGTGGTCCAGATGTATCCACCCTGCTGGGGCTGGGAAGTCCCTACCCAGGTTAGGAAAGGGAGTGGGAACTGTGGGCCTAACCAGAGAGGTGTACCACCCTACCCTGCTGGGTCTGGGAGTCCCTTCCCAGGTGGGAAAGGGAGTGGGAACTGTGGGCCTAACCAGAGAGGTGTACCACCCTACCCTGCTGGGTCTGGGAGTCCCTTCCCAGGTGGGAAAGGGAGTGGGAACTGTGGGCCTACAGGAGAGGCAGACCTACCCAGCCTCCAGGGGCTCTCTGATGTGAGGGAAGGGAAGCTCTGGCAGTCAGGGGATTTACTCTACCTTTTTCCCTGCTGCAGGTGCCTGTGCAGTCTTGGTTTGATGACATGGCAGATACTGAGTTGCTGAACCTGATCCCAATCTTTGAAGAGTTGAGCGGAGCAGAGGATGTCTACACCAGCCTTGGGCAGCTGCGGGCCCCTTAGCCTTCCCAGCTTCCAAGCAACAACCATCCCAGTAGGGGACTTTGCTACATTGTGCCTTTATGATCAGCCAGAGTGAAAGCTGCAGTGCCTCGTCAGATGAGGCCTGGACATAGTGACCGGTGGCTGGAAAGAGCTTTAGGACAGGTTTGGTGCCAAGTGGGTAGATAGCAGACCAACAATAGCCAGAGATGGGTACCTGCTCCCTGAGTTGGGTTCCCGAGATTTGTGTGTGAATGTGTATATGTGTGTGTGTTTGTGTGTGTGAGTGAGAGAGAGAGAGAGACTTGCCTTGAACTATGGCCAAGGGATATAGTTTTTCAGGTTGGAAGTGGAAAGGTCAAGACTTTCCCCAAGGTAGTTCATCTCCTCTTCAGTCACCCTAAGAGCCACTAAGTTTTGTAGGGATGAAGACTATTGAAGGCTCCATTGCCAAACCCATGGCCTTTCCTCAGTGTTGTAAGACTTATGCCAAGGAGAAAGGGTCAGAGGCTGCCTTCAGGCACCCAAGGCACATCCCTTTCTGAAGCCTTTCTCCAGCCATCTGCTACAGACAGAGACACTTCTGGGAAGATGAGAACTTGTTTCCAGAACAAATACTCCAGTGGCCATGGGGTTCCACGGCCCAAGAGCTGCACTTGCTTATAGCCAAGTGCCTAGCATGGGCCCTTTCTGTGTCTCCTCAGTGGCTGAGACCAGGCCTGCCTTCCTCACCACCTAGCCATAGTCATGAATCTGTGGGGAAGGAGGTCTTCTCTTTGCCTTGGATGAGGACACGACTGATTTCCGTTCTTTGGACTCTGTTTTAAACTTCTCTTTCTAAACTTGGAGTGTTGGGCCTTTTTTGTTTCTGACAGCTACAGTCCCAAGCCTGTGGTGAATGTGGGGGGGAGGAGGGCAGTGGGGTGCAGGAAAGAGGAAAACTGCAAAAGCAAGAATGTGCGTGTCCCCTTTTTTGGCTTGTAGACCAGCCGAGCTCGGGACTGATTCCATGAGTCTGCTCTTCAGGGATTCTCTGTGGTGCTGGTGCAAGGACTCTTGTTCCAAAGTCTGGGAAGGGTGGCTCAAAGCTGCCCTGGCCCCTCCTGTCTCTTGGGTGGGCTCTTTCCTGTTGTGTCTTCCTCGGGCTGTCCTGTGCTGAGCTCTGTCTGCGCCAGCCTTTGTCCTTCCTGGCTGTTGCTTTTTCTCCCCAGGGCTTCAGAGGCACTCCTGATTTTCCTAGGCTGGGAGTGGGTGTTCTCACAGTTGCTTCTGGTAACTGGTGCCCCAAAGAGCTCAGGTGTAAGTAAGCCCCTCACACACCTGTGCTTTGGGTGTCTCTCGTCTTCAAAGGTTCTTCATAGTGAATGCTTTAAAAAACAGTCATAAAATGGAAGTGTCCCCAGGGTGGAAAACAAAAGGAGAAGTGCTGCTGTGCTTGGGAGCACAAAGGGGCCCCAAAAAAGGGAGCCCCATCTCAGCATCACTGCCTTAAATCTTGGCCTCCCCCGGGGCTGGGTAGGGTTCTCTTCTCTGTCTGCCCTCCTCTGGGGGTAGGAGGGAGTTCTATCCCTTATCTCTTGTTTTCTCTGGAGGCAGGTGTCACAAAGCCTTTGTAAGTTGCTCCAGGTGCAGGACACCTCCCACTCAGGACTCACCCCTAGTATCCTTTTCAATTTCCAAACACCAGGTCCAGCCTCAGGAAGTAACCAGGTGGCTGGTCAGGAACTTGGTGTTCTGAGTATTGGCTGACTGGTATCTTTCTTTAGCGTTGTGGTGCCACCTCCCTTCCTTGTCCCAAGGTTCTAAGGCCTTATCTTTCCCTTGGTGCCACAGAAGTAGAACAGAGTCCCAAAAGCCTCTGTGATCATTTCCCTGGTGCCTGGGGGTCCCACTGCAAGTAAAAGGAAGAAAGCTGGAAGTGCTAGCCAGCAATTATGTCTCCTGAAGGAGAGCAAGAGTAATTCCAAGGCTTCAGATCCAGGCCCTGGCCTGGGCCTCTTTCCTACTACTGTGGATAACCTAAGGGCTTTTCAGTCCTTGGGCCAAATCTTTTGCCATCTGGGCCCAGCTGGGCTTTTCAGACTAAATAAGCAATAAGAGGCGCTAAGCCTGATCCAGTTCCCAGGACCCTTTCTACCCTCCTTTGGATCTCCACATAATTCCAGGTGGAAGAAAAGCCTGTGCCCCTCTTCTCTCCCAGGCTTAGTCAAGTGCCCATAGTGTGACCCATGAGCAGAGCCCAGGATGCTTGGTGGGAGTGTCCCTGCTGCTTGTGCATGAAGCCCTGCCTTACAGGCTCCTGTCAAAAGCCTGCCCACCTGCAGTTCCTCAGCAGAAATTAGGAAATTTCCCCCCACTCTCCCCTTTTCTGGAGAAGCCACTTGGCCAAATAAATCTAAACAGTGTCCCTCATGTGGACCAGAGCCAGCCTCAAATCATTATTTGCTGTCCAGCTTCCAGCTTCAGTGTTAGAAGGCAGGTGATGAAGGCAAAGCTTGCTCCTCGGAGGAACTGCCTCAGTTTTGAGGGAGGGCAGGATTAGGAGGGAGTCATTGCATCCCGGCATCTGGTCCACGGCTTCCATGAGCCCTTTCCATTTGAGACTGATCTTTAGGAGGTGATAGGCCACAGTGCTTGGTCAGCATCCATTCAAGCCATGCCAGGAATCTGCCCACCTGCCAGCTTCAGTTCTTTAAGGTGCCTCTTCAGGGACACTGTGTGTCTCTCTGATTGGGCTTCTAAATCAAAAGCCTGATGTTCGTGTCCCTCTCATAGGGGGAGCTTTGGACACAGGACCAGTTTAGAAAAGGGTCAGGTAAGGGTTTCCACTCTGCACATTGTAGAGGGGACACTCTGTAGGCCCATGGGTCCCTTACTAGAGAAGAGCACAGATGTGTCCTGGACCCAAAATTTGTGTTTTAATTACTGAACAGATAAGAAAACGTAAGTGAATTTGCCTTCAGTGAGCCTAGGACCTTCTGTTTAGCTCCCTCCTTCCTCCCAAAGATTTTGCCCCTTTTGTAGATGTATAAACTCACCTCTGTTAACAAATGCCCAGAAGCTGCTGCTTGCTGAAGCATGGGGCATCTCCAGGCAGTCGTTCCAGAGGGAATGGAGCCCATTCTATTCTGCTGCCCCTGCCTCCTCCTGGGATGTCCCTAGTTGGGCAGCCCCCTGGGAAGGCTGCCCTGTCCTGCATCATGCCCCAGCCAGGCCGAGAGTCTGTGAAGGTGGGACCATTCTCCCAGGTCTGTAGTTGATTACTGCCACTGGTCCCTCAATCACCCTTTTTTGTAAACTTGGGTTTTGGTTTAGTTTTGTCCTCTTGTTAATCCTTTTTTTTAAGCCAGTTACTGTCTGCATTCAACCAAGGGCGGAGAGGTCGGAGGCGCTGGCCAGCCGCCCCATTCCATTATTGCTGTAGGACCCATCTCTGGAGCAGACTTTTATCTTTGGGCCCCGTTGAGCTTCTCTGCTTGTTAATAGCCCCGTTTGACATGGTCCATCTTGTGCCATTTTCTCCCTTCAAGACAAGGGGGTAGGGAATCTGCTTCCCACTGTGATTGGGTTGTGGGAGTCTTAACTACATTGGTTACAGATTCATGGTTTGATAAATTTGTTGTATTCAAAAACTTGAAATGTAGGATGCCATTAAGTGTCTGTTTATATTTTTTGAATATTTGTATTACTTACGATTAATAAAAGTGGGTTTAAAAAACCCATCCAAGAATGGGAACTGCCTCTTGACCCTGCTGTTGTTCATTCGGGCACCACCCTTCTTCCCTCACAACCCCTTTGGTCGTGATGAAGCTGGAGTACCTGGGCTGAATGAGCCTCTCAAACCGGCTTGGAAACCTGCAGACTCAGCACTGGGCTTCTGCTCAAGGTTACAGGAGTCTCCATTAGCTCGCCCCAGGCCCCAGGAACCAGCTCCCTTGCCATCCAGTTGCTTAACAAGCGTATGCTTGGTGTCCTGTTGACTTCTGGGGATGCATCAGAAGCCCCAAGTCTCTTCTGTCCCTTCACTGACGCCCCCAAACCAGGAGATTGGAAACTGGGAGCCCAGATAGCTCTCAGCACATAGTCGTCACTTAGCTCCTGACTGATGTATGACTAATGGCCCCAGCAAGCAAAACTGGATAACCTAGTAACGTCCTTCTGGCTCCTTCCCAGGCTTCCCCTCCTCAGAAACCCCCAAAAGTTTTCCTAGGGAGGACTGGACATCCTGGGTACTCGCGGTAGGCAGCTCTAGCTCTAGCCTCGCCTGTCATCGTAATGCATCCGTTTCTACAATATGGCAAATTTCATATCCTCCCACCCCCTTCCTGCATTATTGATGGGTTGTGCACTTTTTAAAAATCAATTAGATCAGGGTGTGGGGCTGGAGTTAAAAGAAGCCTTTAAAAGTCTGCACTTGTTTTGCTGTTTTGAATAGGAACAGAAAAAGCTTTCCCTCTGGTTTGAATAAGTCAAGCCCAGGGCTAGGTTGGCCGTGATTGGCCAGGACTAGGAAAATGTGGTTGAGATGCAAACATAGGCAAATATAACCCAGTGTCTGTGCAGCCATTGCTACGCTAAGGCAGCAGGCCCTGGTACCTCCCTCTTTGGGGTTTTTGGGGGGTGGTTCTTCAGTATCGCCGCTGCCAGAAAACCAAGACCGGGTGGCAGAGAAGGCAAGGTAAGGTGTATTTGATTAATGGGTGCACGAGTAAAGAGATTGAAATGTGCTTGGCTTTGTCTTTGGGGATAAGGCTTTTAAAGAGATGAACCAGGAGTTTGTGACTAGTTTTGTGAACTTTCACCTGAGAAGTCTAGAGACTCTCTTTTAGGGATCACTGAGCATTTATCAAAAGCTGGGAAGGATGGAGAAGACTCATCCTCCATCTCTCCTGGGAGAAAGATGACCCGGGGCAAGGCAGAGGTTAAAACTGGCTTTCTCTGCTTGGGGTTCATCCGTCAGTATCTGTGAGAATTAGGAGCCACTGGCTTTCAACATAGGATTTCAAAACCACACCCCATCCTAAAGATGTCTGTAGTCCTCTCAAAGGGGGTTGAATTAATAAACTAGGACTTGGGGAGGAGGGAAGGAGGGAGCCAGCTTTTGGGGACTTTGATGTCACAGTTGGAATCATGTTTTCTAGGTTTTCCAGTGTGGCAGAAAGTGTCTTTGCCAAGCATATCCTCTTGTATTTGGGGAAACCTGGTCCAGTGAGCACTTTCCCTTGCTAGGGGCTGCTTTTGGCATCTGAGACCCATTCCTAATTAATTCCAGTAGGTTTGGTTTTTACCAGGTTGACAATTCCCCATTCCAAGAAGTAGGTTCATTAGCCCTTGTCACCTTCCCCTAGTTGGGTCATGCCTTTGCCTTCAATGACCAAAAGCTGGAGTCTGAAGGGGGGGGAAAAAAAAAAGAACAACATATATTTCCTAGCAATTCTGAGCAGCATAGGGTGGGGCAGCCAAGTTATCAAATTAGATCCTCAAACATCCGCTGCTGCTCCACGTCACCACTTTGCTTTAGTCCTGCTAGAGCGGTAGACAAAGGGAGCTTGTTTTTGTTTTTTTTGCCAAAGTACATATTAGATAATGATGCATATTATCCAAACCTGACTTCACCCACTGAGGCTAAGAAAAGAATGGTTAGACAGGCTCCTCCTCATAGGCACAATATGCGTCGAAATAGCAAACATCCACACCAACCGTGCCAGGTGGGTTTTGATCCCATGTAAACCCACGGCTTAGCAATCCTGTCCTCTCTAAACTAAACTAGCATTCATCTGTTAATGCCTATTATCATGAGATTGCAAGCTCTTGAGAGCAGAACCAAGTGTTTTAACTATATA